CCCCCAAAAAAAAAAACCCAAAGCAACCACACAAAAAAACTCGCTGTAGTTTGAGTCAAACCAAGGTTCTTCTAGCTTGTCTTCAGTAGCAGTTAGTAGCAAACAACCATAATGGGAATCTAATAATGAGGAAAGAACATAAACTTAACTATATGTAAATATTCTTAGAGACAAATATTCTTACGTGATCTAGAAGCAACTCTTCTGTTTTTAATTGCTGATGGAGGTTTTTTCCATGCACTAGTCTGACTTCTTTTTGAATCCACAAACTCCTATTTTTTGCAAGTTCTGCAACTTAACTATATGTTTTGTGGAAAATGTACTTCCCTTTATGTTTTGAACTGGCTGCTTGTTGGCTTCATATAATGCTCTCTCTTTATTTCTTACTGCTTATTACTATGATTAAGTCAACCATGCAGGTATTGTAGTTTCTTTGTTAGTATACGTTCCTGGTTGCTTAATATTGACTTGTTTGTATTTGTTTCACTTCTACTTCACTTCTGTCAATAAAAACAATTTTTATTTTTTTATTACTACCGGGATTTACCTCCACCTTGTGCCTTCTCTGGTGGCAAAGTTGCTGTAATGTTTGCCCTCAAACACGCCAGTTGATCACCTTTTCAGTAGTTATCCTGTGATTTAATTCTGTTGGTGGCTGTGCTTGAAGTTAATGTATTGATTGTGTTAATAAGATAATTGAAGATATGGTTGCAAGGTGTGAGAATTTTTGTGTTACAGGGGCTGTTATTTGTAGTGTATGAGTAGATGGTGTGAACTTCCCAGTGTTTGATCTTATTTCTTTTACAGTATTTCTGCCCTTAATATTTCTTGCTACTACTGTTCAATAAGTATTTTTAAGATTTATAAACAAGAAGTTGTCTCTTCTTTGCTCTCAATGTACCAGCTTTTTAACTCTCCTGGAGAAAGTTACATTATCATTCCTCCTAAGCTTATGTATGTTAAGACCATTGCTTGTCAAAAACAATACCTTAAGCCAAATGGTGGTAAGTGTTCATTTTTTGAGCACTGATGTGGGTGTCTTACTGTGAGAAATTAACAGGCAACTGCAAGGCAACTACTGAGTTCTGAATTGCCTGGTACTTCCAGATAGCCTGTTACTCCATGTAAAATGATGTCATAGTTCAGCTCATCCAGATATGTTGCTAATCTTAGTGAAATTTAAATGCGGAAAAGATGACTAAGTTGTTCTCTTCTAAAGTGTAATCTACTTTTGTAGGTGGTGTTGTTTTGTAATGCTTCATGCTGACCAAGATGGAGAGAAACTACAGGCATTACTTCGTCTTGTAACAGAGCTCCTAGAAAGGGTCAAGGTTGTAGAGGCTCTCAGTACTGTTCCTCAAATGTACTGTCTAGCAGTTGTTGAGGTGGTGAGGAGAAAAATGTTCATAAAACACTACAGGGAGGTAAGTAAGTAAAACTTTGAGACCAAACCTTTCTATCAATGTATAAATTAACGATTAACTACGTATTTTCCCTTCCATAGTGGGCAGGTGCTTTAATAAAAGATGGGAAACACCTATATGAAGCTGAGAAGGCAAAAAGGGAATCTTTTGGTAAACTGTTCAGTAAGTACTTTCTCTTCTGTAAAATCAGAATTGTGGCTAAGTATGACTTTTGTCTTTGTAGGTATCATACTTTCATAATGTTGTAGTTTAAACACCTGTATATATTTTTTTTTTACTTAAATAGGAAATGCATGCAGTGTGCTAGATGGTCCTATTATTAACAAAATATTTTCTATTAATTTTTCTATTAATTAATGAACTCTTTAATACAGATTATCCAAAATCTGTGAAAATTCTAATTAGTTTAATGCTTGTAAAAGGTAAGATTTCTACTTGTTACATTTGAATGCGGCTTCTATTTGAACATGCTCTGCGAGCTTTACTGTTCTTTTGAAGAACACTTTTAAAACCATTACTGAATATTTGAGTATTGCTACAACTTCCTCTGTACTACTTCAGAAAAAAACAGAAATGAAGACTCATGTCAAAAGACCTTGACCAGAAGTTAAAAAAAATTTGAAAATGAAGTTGCTGATAAAAGAAATCTGATTTTTTTTTTTCTGCAAACACTGCAACTTACATTCTGAATGAACTGCTGAAATCGGAAAACTGAGCAAAAGGTTATCAAAACTTTGAAAAGGAGATTAGCAAGATTACAATGAAAATTTGAAAAAGGAGTTGAGGCTTTTACAGGGGTGAACATTAAGCAAAAAGAGGCTTCAATGAAGTGAGAATTTCTACTTGGGTGGTGGGTTTTACGTGAAGTTCTGTGGTCACTTGCAATTTTTATGTTGTCAAGAAATGGCATATTTAGTAATGCTTTCAAATTTAGTTCAGCTGTTAAACTGCAGTAGCTTAATTGTTCTATCTTGAGGCATTGTTTGTATGTTGCATTTCTTTCTTTTAAGTAACTGTTTTTTCTTTGCCTAGGGAAGTCTTTCCTAAGGAATCGTTTGTTTAGAGGACTTGACTCCTGGCCTCCATCCTTTTGTGTAAGTAGTCAATATATTTTGGGATTTTATTTCGTTTTTATAAACCATACTTTCATAAATTAAAAACCTAAGCTTGATTCATTCAAGCCATGTGCCTGTCATGTTGCTCTGACACAGATGAAAAAGCTGGGAGCTAGTATTCTTTGCTATTTCAAGTGACCTATATTAACATTGATTCATAACCCGCAGTGTGGTGGGAAAGGAAATGTCAACTCATTACTGCTTTTTAACAAGGAGCCTGTGGTATTGAACAAGAAATTGTTGTCAGAAAAATGGTCAGAAAAAAGCCAATAAGGATAATTTGATCATCTCATCCTCTCTTCTGAATAATAGAGCCATAAAACTAGTTAGATGGTAAAAGCAAGTAAAAGGTTTTCATGGTTTTTCTATAATCACTGGATGAGTGGAAAAGCATTTTGTCTCTTTATCGGCTGATAACATGAAGGGGTGAAAAAGCATAGCTGTAATCAAGCATTGCCTGTTTACTTTTATTTCATACAGCTTGATTAATTCAAGTAGGATAACTCTCCCTGATTCTAATGTTGCCATCGCACTTTGCCTTGGAAAATAAGAATGCTACTCACTTCAGTGTTTTGAATACTGAACTGAATTAATACTTGAGTGTATGTTTAGCAGTACAATAAATAAAGTTTCAGTGCCATCTCTTATCCCTTAACTTTTTAAACACATCTTTAATGTTTATGAAGCTTGGTCATAGGGAGGAAGTTGGACTAGATGATCGTTGTAGGTTCCTTCCAACTGAAATACTCTATTCTACTGCTGCTCAAGGCACTGTGGATAGCATTAGTGACTATGGATGTAAATAATAATTTTTTTAGGAGGGTGAGGCCAGTCATGATTCCTTTAAAAAAAAAAAAAATAAAATCTTTTGAGAGATCACTTTAACACCACCTTTTCTGTGTTATTAAGCTCTTTTTAAACTTTCCTTAGTTATGTTGATATTATTTACCTTAACAACAATGTGTAAATTAATGTCTTCTTAATACAGACACGAAAACCTCGCAGATTTGACAGTGAGCTTCCAGATATCTCATTAAGTGACTTGCAGTTTTTGCAGTCTTTTTGTCCTTCAGAAGTACAGCCGTTACTCAGGTAAAGCACCTTTTTAAACTTTGTATGTTATGGAAATAGTTTCCCCCCCGATCCTATCACCCTCAGTCCCCTCCCCCAGTTCATTTTTTGTAAGGAGCAGACAAGGATATTTTTTGAACTGATAGCGTTCTTAAGCAATGGTCTTCACAGACTTAATGCAGATACATATTGTCTATATGCTTCATGTACTCAAGCTCAGATGATTTCAACACATGTCTTCTGTATTGAGATATAAAGGATGTTCTCAAGCTTAGATGATTTCAACACGTCTTCTGTATTGAGATATAAAGGATGTTGGATGTTTGTCTGAGCTGCCTCATAGCTAAAAAAAACAAACAAAAAAGTTGTTGTCAGTTTAAAACTGAAATAAACTCTTAACTTTATGTATGTTTTGTCAGATCAGATCTAGGTGGTTTTTTTTTTCCCCCATTTGCTCTTTGTTAAGTGGTATTCTGGAGGAAATAAAACAAATTTCTTCAGCCCAGCATGAGATCATAGAATACACTTTACTTTATGTTTTGTCAGATCAGAACTAGGTGGGTTTTTTTTTTTCCCCCATTTGCTCTTTGTTAAGTGGTATTCTGGAGGAAATAAAACAAATTTCTTCAGCCCAGCATGAGATCATAGAATACACTTTTTAGTAAAATCAGTCTGTCAGAGAAAAAGCAATAATTGAATACAGGAGATCTCTAATGCCCCTGCTGTCTATGGAAATCCATAATTTTGAGCAGAAGCTCTATTTCCATGTTTTCTGTGTCCCAACAATGAGGCAGAAGTGCAAATGTAGACAGGAAAGTTACTGTTTTGTTTCACAGGCAGCTTGACAGGATTAGTTTCTTATCTAGAACTTTGAGATGTCTTTCTGGAAAAGTTGACTATTAGAGTGAGCTTTCAAACTCATGTGTCTTAAACATGTAGCAATCGGAGAAATACCAAGCAAGATAATAGGCAAGAAATAGGCAGTAGCAAGTTCTACGTAAGATCCTGTCTAGGAGGAGGTCTGTATATCAATATGACTACAATCAGATGCTGCATGTATCCATCATGCTTCTCCTATAAGAGATCTGCAGTTAGAGATTTGCTGAGATTCCATATTTTTTAGCCCCAAGGCCACAATCCCATGAAGGATGATATGGTAAATCCAAAAGGAAGATGCTCCGCTATCCTATGTTCGGTTCAACAGTATCAGCCTGATACCTGTTACTGGTGCACAGTGCAGGAGCTGAATTCACTGCGTTTTTACCAATATTTTCTACTGGCATTCTTTTTGATTCAGAATTCCTGGCCATCCTTATGGTGTTGCTGCTGGAATTAGCAATAAGTGTAGTGAGCTTAGTCTGTCTGAGAGTGGATTTGCCCTAGATCATGATACAATTGATGTACCCTTTTAATTTCTCTTGTTATGCTCTTAGCCTTGCTCCTTAGTGATTCTTCAGGAAAAAAAGTGCGAACTATGGTATCATATTGCTGACATTTGCCTGATTTTTGGGTTGGTGAGAATTTTCCAACCTTCCTGGGAACTTTGGACTGAGTTCAGGAAGAAGTTTGCCTTGCTATTGTCAGAAAACCAGTCACTAACCGAACTGTTTTAATTGGTCCGAATTGTAATGACATAGTTTTCCACTTGATGGCAATAGAGGTGGGATTATGTCGCGCTGCTCCTGGTTTCTGGGCTCAGGATTACATTTGGTGAAAATACTCATGATAGTGATGTACTTGCAACTTGAGTGGGCAAAGCTGTCACACACCTTGGTAGACACTGAGCTTCAAAAGAAACCTTAGAGCAGTACTTTCTTTGAGATTTTCATTTAACATCTAAAGAGCAAGCAATAGGCAAACTGAGACCCAGCTGAAGTCCTTTTCTATCAGCACTGAATCCCTGAGCTGCATAATTAAAATGATGGTCCTATTTACTGTCACTGCTCCAGTCTTCTGAAATTATATGTCTGAGCAGTTACTGAAATCTTAATTCTACAAAAAAATACTAGATAGCACTTACCCTATATATTAAATAGAGAATGCAAAATATGTTGAAGCATAATCTGCTTTTATTATATTGTTAGTCTAAATGAACTTCTCCTTTGTGATCTCAGTGGAGCTATTCTTGAACAAATTAAAAATTCTGGATATATAGACTCTCAAGAAAAATTAAATAAATGTCGATTTTCCAGAGGTTTAGAAAACTTGCAATTGAAAGCTTATCTTGCAGCACTTGCAATGTGATCACAACACATTAATCAGTCTTTTCATTTAAGTTACCTGTCATTAAAATGAGGTAGTAGAGAATTAATAGCTACTTCAAAGGAAGAGCTGGATTGGAGAGAAACCAACTGGAAAGAAGAATAGAGTCATTTGCAAACATAAGTGCTTCAATTACAGATCTAATTGCTATCAATTCTCCTCTGTTGCTGTTATTGTAACTCTAGGTACTACTGGTAAATGTTTCCTCAGAAGGAAAGACTGACATATTATTTCCCCATCATTGTGTTTATCTTTATCTACTCCTTAAAAGCTCTCAAGTTCTTAGTTTAAAACACAAATACCAGGTGGTCTTAGTGGATTTTCCATGTAAAATAGACAAAATGAAGAAAGTACAAACCTTAAACAGAGAGAAGCTTGGTCTTGTTGGAATATACAGATAATAATTTAATGTATTTGAATATCAGATTAATAATGTGCAAAAAAAATTTTAATCCTATACTGTTTTTAAGGGTTCCCATACTTTGTGACTTTGAACCTCTTCACCAGCATGTACGTGCTCTACATAACCTGGTAAAGGCAGCACAGAGTTTGGATGAAATGTCACAAACCATTACAGACCTGCTGAATGAACAAAAGGTATTTTTTTGCTTTTCTTTGCCAAGAAAAGAGAATATTCTATTCAAAAGGGTAGAATATTTTCGTAATATTGTTTTACCAATCACTTCAGAAAGAAACGTTGTTTTTCCAGCTGTAAAGATTAGTTGGTCTCATAACTGCATAACAATAGTTCTTTCTAATCACATACTAGCAAACATTCTGCGAATGTTGAGCTCTTCAATGAGTAAAGTGAGTCTGTCTAGAGAATAGTCGAAAGATATTGAATATCTTCTAAACATTTAACAGATGTTTATATTCCACAGAAATTGTAGAAGTAGAATTATTCTATTAATATTTCTGGTTTCTGCCATTTTCTAAAGCTTCTGTGTGCGGAATGTGTGCATTTTGCCTTTGTTACTTCAGTTTGTATTTACTGAAGTTGTTACTTCTCTAGATATTTGCATTGCTGCTTAAGTCCTTTTGGCACAAGCAGTTAAGGAGAATTTAGGGCCTTGGTTGTTGTCCCCATTAGCTTGAATATTGATGTGAAAAAAGGTGTCATCTTTGTGGGACTCCATGTTATTGTCTACGGTGTAAGTGTTTGTATGCACTTTGACTAGAAGCATCATCTCTAACTGCCAAAGTTATGGGCATTTGAATTAGGAGATTGCTGCTTAAACCAGGTGACTTGAAGTCCTCTATCTTCTTATTCTTCTGGGACTTGAATAAGACATTTACTGGAAGTCTTTCGTTTATGTAAAATATGAGATCTGGGCTGCTCTTTGTTCTGTAATATAAAAAAAGGTGTGTCACTTATGTCCTTCTTAGCTCTTTTCTCTCTTTATGAAAATTGGTTTTCATATGAACAGCCATTAAGAACAAGAGTTTTAGGACCTGACCACTGTATTAGCCAATGGAATGGCTAGGAGTGGTGTAAATTTGTGAAATCTGGGAGTTTTCTGAACATGCTCTTTTTACAGACTATACTCTGAAATACAGAAGTCCACCCACGACTTGGAGCATCCTGAAATTTATCTCATAAGGATAGTGACAGGTGTTCTAACAAATTAGTTTTTCACTATGGATTGCAATATCACAAGAGTGTGAAATAAATCCAATGAGTAAATTTTAATTCAAAGTATATATAATAATGGTAGAAGAATAAACAGGAAAGGTGCCTTACTTGTTCAAGTCTTGATGGTTTGCCCTTTTTGGTTCAGACTTGCTTATCTGAGAAATTTTTACCAGTATCTGGCTGCACAAAGACATTTGGCAAATTGGGAGAATGTGTTCTTCCCTTTCTTCTTTTTTGCTGTGCTTTGACCAGTTTGGATTCTTGGCTGACTCAGAAATGTCAAGTGCTTAGACGGATTTGGGTAATTGTCTCTTTCCTTAGAGTAAATTGCATTGCACAGTCAGAGCTGGGCCATTCATGATGTCATCTTGAGAATGCCCATCTCTGTGTGTAATTTCAGTGAATCATTCGAACTCTTTTTTGGAATTGAAGCAAATAGATCTGTCAGATTTTTCCTTCTCAGCGACAGTGCTCTTGTTATTACTAGATGAAAGATACTAGCTCTTTCTCTGTGTTGCTTTGTTCCGCAGATGATCTAGAAGTGTGTTTTAAAATTATACTACTTTTGCCCATGTTCTTTTTTGCATAGAATTACTGAAATAATTTGAAAATGTTCTTTTCTTATCCTTAGTATTGCTGGGAACTTAGAGTATATAATTAGAGGGATGAATAAACATTTAATGATAGTCCTGAAGATGGCTACAGCTTCATACACCTACACAATCTCTTGGTGAACTGCGAGATACCGTCCCAGCTTGGTGCGGAGCTGGCAATGACTGTGCAGGCATTGAGTGTTGCCCATATAGCAGAATGTTGCCCTCCCAAGGAGACACATTCATTCCTAACCTCCCATTCCATACAAGTTTCCCTGCCTTGTTGGTAGTGCAGCAGTTTAGCTGTGTACGTGTCCAGGTGGGAGTTCATCCTACTGCATCAGCCACTGCAACTGGTCTTTTGATAGTTGCTTTAGGCAGGAGAGAAAAGCTGTGGCCGCAGACAAGTGAGCAAAGAGCAAGTTGGAGAGGAGATCCGATTCCTTACTGGGGATGTTAGTAGCATTTCTTTCTAAGTGTCCCGGTAACTCATTATTTCAGCTTTCAAGTTCATAGAACATTAAAGATTATGTACTTCTCTATCTGATACTTGATTTTTTTAAGTTTTTTTTTAGCATTACATCAGAGTGGTTAAGGAACATTTTTGTGGGTTTTTATTTACCTTGTTACTACTCTGATATTTGTTTTCCTTTTTAAAGCTCTCTGCTTATTTGTAATTTAATAGTCTCACACCAAAGATACTGCTGTGCCCTCTCATTTCCATAATACAGACAATGTTTAAACAGATCAGTGATTGGGTTAAAGATGTCCAGGAGAAAGTTAAGGTGCCTGTAGGAGTCAGGTAAGATGATTAAGGTGTCTTCTCCACAGTTAGTAGGTGATTAACATATGCAATCCTTTGGTATTAAAAGTTTCTTTTGTAAAAAGAAGCTGGCTTTTCAAATCAGATTATGAATCTACTGTTTGTTCTGCTTGAGTTTGGAATTCAAACGCTGTTTGTAACCCTTCCAAGAGTTGTCCCATTCCCTGACTGTTTATCATAGTAACATAACTAGAACAAGACATTTAATCCGGCAACACCTGAGAACTTAAAAATTAACTCTGCTTTTCTGTCTCTGCTTCCTGTTTTTTCTTGTTTGCTCTTGACTCCTTTTCCTTTGTCATCACAGGAGTTACAGGGTATGACGTATGCATACATTGCTGCCTGTAGATTGTAAATAAACTAGATGGCAGGCACCAGCTTCTCAGGGAAGTAGACAACAGTAAGCAAAGTCTTCTGTATAGTTTCAGCTACTCAAAACTTGAGGTTTAACTGTTCACTAGGTAGTAAACTGGTACTCTAACTAGAGACCCAGCTCACAGCAGCCACTGCAGGGGCATGCAACTTGTTACAATTCCCGGTTCATGAGGAAACCAAGATCAGTAGAAAGTTGCTCCACACAGTGACAATTTTGTTTGTTTATTTTCTTATTCATGCTATATCCTTACTCTTTACCTTCTAGGATGATTCTGCGGGGGTGCCAAAAGTAGATACCATCTTTCCTTTGCATGTGCCTTTCTATAGGGCCTTCTAATATTCAAAGTCTTTGAAGTTCTTTTTTAGCATGTGTTTACTGACATCTGTGATGCTAGCTTTTATGACTGTTGAAGCTCTCGTTTATCAATGTTAAATGTTTGTCACTTAAAGCATATGCTTTGAATCCAAGCATGTATCAGCATATACAGTATCCTTCAATATTTCTTTTTCTAAGTTTTCTTAGATAAACAGCAAACTGAAATGAAACGCAAGCAAAATGCTTAAACCTGGACTAATAGCACCTTTAACAAAAGGAGGATTTCCTTTTAAGTTTGTCTCATGTCCTATGTTCGTTTTTGATAAATAAAGACAATATTTTGTGTATAATGAACACAAGTTTTGGGGTCTTTTTTACAGTGGTTTTACATCACTGAATTTCAAAGTCGTATCATTTACTTTCGTATAGATGCAAAGGCCAGTGGAGGCGGGGTGTAAATGCAGCTCTACTAAATAGATAACTGTCAGAGCTGGAAGTAGATTATTCCTAAATTTCAGTTCAGAATTCAATTAGTCACACTGCATCTCCATTAAAAGAACATTTACATGGTATGGAGAGGAATATGGTCCCTTTTTGGGTAGCAGCCATTTGTAGAAGATTGAGAAAACAAAAAATCAGCTATTTATACATCAGCAGTCTGCTATCTGTCACTTCTGTCTGGGTTTTTTTGAGTTCTATTGCTGACCGTTACTGCCCAGCTCCACTAACTGTCGCCAGTCAAGTAACATACTAGAGAACACCAGACATATGATTTAAATGCATGGAGACTGTGGATGGTTTGGAGAAGAGGCACGAGCAATATCATTGGGATTATCAGCTAGAAGCAGTGCTGGCTTTTTGAAGAACACCACCATTCTGAAACATCTACAGCACTTCAAGACTGAACATCTTACAGGAATCTTTTACTGGAAATATTCCCATGAGTCTTTAGGAACAGTTTCTTTTCAAGATGGTCACATTCCTCAGATGAATAAGAGTCCTTCAAGGATGAAGGATGGAAAAGCAAGGTAGTGGTAGGGCTATGGTGTTACAGACAATGCATCTGAAATCTTTCAGAGCACTAATCCATTCAAAAAGCTCGATGTCTCTTCCAGTTTGTGATCCCGATGATCCTGCTCATACCTCTTCATCCTACGTGTTGCAGATACTCTACTTATTTTAACTGTATGTATCTCACTATAATTTTCTTAAGAAAAATTGCTTCACTATCCCATCCTATTACAGACTTGTTCAGGGATGCATCCTTGGTGGCTACTGAGGCTGTACATTGCTTTTTGGCTTCTACTGGGTTGTATTCTGCACTTGCTGAAGCTTAAGATTTTTATTTTTTTGTTCTGAGAATCTGCAGATGATGATATTGTTGGCACTAGGGCTTTTATATTCCCTGTTGTATTCAATAGTTAATAATTAAGGTACTACAGGTTGACCATTTGTTCCTAGTTCTCATAGATATGAAGATAATAAAGGAAGAGGACTTTAATACACACTTCACTTACTCTGTCAAACAAAGCTTGCAAGCAGTAAATTCATTATGTTAAATCTATCAAATAAATAACAAACTTAAGAAAAATGTATAACTGAAGTTTAGATGTATCTTACTGTAAGTTAAATTGAGTTTGTCACATATAAAAAGTTTGAAAATCGCAGAACACAGGCTGTTTACACAGCCTCTAAGACCTTGCTGAGGTTGATTATTTCTTTTAAAGCATTTCAAAATGGTGCTTTACTGAATTTCAGGTGCATAGAAATAAGTGCATGTAACTTGGCCTGCAATTATAACTGTTATAGCTATGATAAATCAAACTTCAGGTGAATTCATGTAAAGTGTATGTTCCATGGCAGTATAGAAAAGTATGATGTCTTTGAAATAGCAAAGATTGATTTTCGAACACTGTGCGTGAATTGACACTTTACAGCAGATTATGCACTGGAACTTGAGATCTTGCTTTATAGTTCATATAGTAATGAACAAGAATTGATGATAATGAGGTTTAAACACAATATCTAATCACAAATAATTGGAAAATTGTTTTGACGGTAAGTTTTTAGCTTTTTAAGAATCAAAAGCACTGGAATTCATCAGAATTACTTGAGAACAGTTCTGTGAAGATGGAGAAGCTTTACTTAATCTTTGTATTGGTTTACAAGCTACTGTTACTTGTGGATGACTATGGGTGGTTATTCTAACCATTAGCTTTTCAGCTGAATTTTGAAGGATCTGGTGCTACGGAATCAGGTTTGGTGGTATCCAAAATCTAGAGGCAAAATGACAAAAATTGGGGAGCAATGGGAGCGGCATGGGGGGGGCGGGGGGGGGGAAAACCACTCAGGCTGTGATGTCTTGCATTCTGTAAAGTCAGAAGGTTGCTTTTAATTTTAATATGCCCTTCATTATACTGTACTACTTATACATTCACAAGCAGAACAATTCTCATGTGTCTTTTTAATATGTTAGTAGACAATAGTTCTGTTGTAGTAAAGCTTTTTGTAAACCTTCTTGGTATAGTATATTAATAGTGACTGGATTACACTGATTTTTTAATAGGTGTATTGGGAACAATGAAAAATATTTTAGTACCAAAATTGTTAGGAAAATTGAAATCAATAGACTGTTAGAAAACAAAGCCTATTTCTGACTGGTTACTTCAGTGGTTTTGTATTGTAAAAAATTATGTGTCAGCCCTTTCAAATACAGTTGTATGTGATCTGTGTAGGACTTTTGGATAGGTGAACATTTATATATTTACAAATGGTGCCTTTTTGAAACTTAGCTGAAAATCTCTCTGAATTTCTGCAATTTTTACTTAAATTTTAGTCGTGTATTTTGGACTGTTATGGATAGTAAGACTGACTTCTTAAGTTCTTGTTTTGCCTGGTGATTTTTTAATAATTTTAAAATATTAACAGTTTTGCCTATCACTTTGTTAAGTGATTGTTTCATATTTTATAACTTATAGGCCTCCAATAGTCAGGCATCGCCACAATCTGCTACCACATCAAGGATGGAAAGTACAACAGGAACCGCAATTGCTACCTCTTCAAGAACTCCTCCATCACTCAGTCTTCAGGGTCCCCTGTGTCCTCCTGTGTGTCCTCCAGCTCCATTAGAAGAATTGTCTCCAGACAGCATTGATGCTCATACATTTGATTTTGAAACTATTGGCCATCCGAACTTGGAGCAAGCTCTTAAGCAAGGATCGTTAGACTTGGATTCATTAGCAGAAAGTCCAGAATCTGACTTTATGTCAGCAGTAAATGAATTTGTAATTGAAGAAAATCCAGTATCTCCTAATGTAATAAGTGATCCACAAAGTCCAGAAATGATGGTGGAATCTCTTTATTCTTCAGTTATCAATGCAATAGACAGTAGACGTATGCAAGATACAAATTCTTGTGTAAAGGACGTCTCAGTAGAAAATGCATCTCTCAATGTTTGCATGGAGAAATGTAGGGTTATTGCGCAAGACTCAAAGGTACATTTAAGAGGTATAAAAGAAGATCTCTGCCACTTTAGAACACTTGTACAAAGAGAACAGTGTGACTTTTCTAATTCTTTAAAATGCACTTCATTAGAAATAGTAAATACTATTGAGAAGGTAAAACTTTCACTTGAAAAAACACTAAAAGATAAACATCAAAAAGAATTACAGTCTTTGAAAAGTGAATATGAAACTAAAATTAATAAATTATTGGAGGATGGTGAAGAAAATAAAAAGAAGATTAAAAAGTTAAAAGGTGACTTATTAGGCCTTGAGGAAGTTCTTCAGAATAAGAATGATGAATTTGCAATGGTGAAAAATGAGAAAGAAGCTGTAGTTTGCCTTCAGAATGAAAAAGACCAGAAATTACTTGAATTGGAATGCCAAATGGAGACACAAAATTGTGAAATTAAGGAACTGAGGCAGTCACGTGAGATAGTACTTGAAGATCTGAAAAAACTTCATGTTGAAAACAATGAAAAACTACAACTCCTGAGGGCAGAACTTGAGAGTTTAGAGCAAAGCCATTTAAAAGAACTGGAAAACAACCTACAAGCCAGGCATTTACAGGAATTTGAGAAGGTGCTAGCTGAGCACAAGGACTGTTTAGATAAATTAAAAAAAGAGAACCAGCATAGACTTGAACAAATGCAGGAATCTCATGCAGTAGTTGTTCAAGAGAAACAACAACAAGTAGAAGAGTTACAACTCAAGGTTTCAGATCTGTCTGATTTGAGGTGCAAATTAGAAGTTGAGCTTGCCCTGAAAGAGGCAGAAACTGATGAAATAAAGCTTCTTTTGGAAGAAAGCAGAAACCAGCAACAAGAGACCTTAAAATCGCAGATTGATAAGGAAACTGAAAGCTTAAAAAAGGAGATAGATAAATTAAACAATAAAATACAACTTAACAATGATGAATATCAAGTGGGCTTATCAGAACTAAGGACTCTGATGACCATTGAGAAAGATCAGTGCATTTCTGAGCTAGTAGACAGGTATGAAGAAGAATCAAATTTGCTTAGAACTGAACTAAATAAAGTAACACTTCTTCATCAAAAAACTTCTGAGGCAGAAAAAAGACTTTCAGAGCAAATAACGGAACTACAAAGTAAGTTAGAGTTGGAAGTGAATGCCCTAGAAAAGGAAAAAACAGAAAAATTGTCTCTCTGTGGGCAGCAGGAAAAGTATGAAGCTATTATCCATAAGCTTAAGGAAGAGAAAGAACTGTTAGTATCTAACCAAGAACAAGACAGGCAGTTGCTCATTCAGAAGCTCAATTGTGAAAAAGAGGATGCAGTACAAACTGCTTGTAAAGAGTTTGAATTACAGAGGGAAGCTGCTGAAAAAGGGCTTTTGGAAAAAATACAACAACTTGAGATGCAAGTAAATCGGAGGTACTGTAAGAATTAAGTTACTGTGTTTTCCTAGTATTTTAAAGTAATTAATATGATATATTCAGGATGCACTATGCAGTAAGTAAAATTTCTGTGTATTTGTAAAAGTGTTATCTGAGTTGGTTTCTATATTCAAGTTTCAAGTTCCTTCCATTTTATAGGTAGTGATATACTTGTGTCTGTAGTTAATCTTAAAGATTGTAAAATATCTCATACGATATTATTTCCAGGCAGCAATGAAGGTTTTGTATTTCAGTTTTGTAATATTACGATGAAGGAGCATTCTCACAATAGCATGTTGCTTGAAATTCTGATTTTGATGGTCTCGGCCTCTCTCTCTTTCCCCATCCTTTGGTCTGGTATTAGCTATGTGCGAACATGCAGTGACTAGCTTTTAGGCTGATAACTTTCTTTGATTGGCTAACTATACACTTTTGTTGGTGCTAATGGTGGCGTGAAAAAGTGTCTGGGAATATATATATCTGATCGACTGAGAACTGTCCCGTGGCCACCTTGGACATTGAGTTTAGCTGCTATGGTTTTATATATTTCTGGGTCTTCAGTTTGAGCTTTACAATGAAACCCATGTGAACAATATAATTTTAAAGAACATCCTAACATCGTTGTTTTTTGTTGTTAATTTCTGCAGTGTTTTTCCATTTTTAAAAAGAAAATTGTATTTTCCTTTGCTATGAATGTCTAGAATTACTCTTTCTGACTTCTCATATCTTACCTGCTTACTAGTTCGTAATGCCTGTCAGCAGACTAGACTATGGTGTTATGAAATGGAAACAGTAGAATTTTTCTTTGTGACTACTGCTTAGAAACAATATTCTATTTTGAAATGCTAGAATTTGTCATTTATCTTGTAGTGTGAAGGAACACAGCGGATAGATCTTGTTTGCACGATACCTAAATACAGCATTTTTTTCTGGGTGTTGTGATATACCAAGTATATGAAATGGGAAAAGACCGATAAAATGGACAGAATTGGCATAAAGACCAGAAGAGTACTGCAGAATGTGAATACAGACTTAAGTTAGCATTTAACTTTCAAATATCTATGTAACATTAAAAAAAAAAAAAAAAAAAAAAGAGAGGGAGGTTATGCAGAGTCCAACATGTGCGCACAATTCACTTATATGGTGCAAGGAACACCTGAATATCTACTTCACTTGGATTATCCACTTCAGTCCCATTGCCTCAGGATTTTGATATGCAAACATATCCATCATTAAATGATGTTGTATCAGTGTCTGTTTTGTATGTCAGTGTACAAAAAAAATACGTCAAGATAATACAATTTTTGAATTAAAAATTGGGATATAATGAAACTAAAACCTGCCCTTCTTAATGGAAAAAAATATTCTCTATATGGTGAACTGAGGAGAAAAAAGATAAACTCTATGTTCTTTTCCTTTTATATGTATTAATGCACTGTAGAAATTTTAAAAATTTGACTCAACAGGAAAAAGATGTAGCTGTGTCATCAGACTTCTTGAAAATCCACCATGTACACTTAAATTTGAACAACTTTTGAGCACAGCGGTGTGTATTCATATACAAGCTGGATGAAACAGATAGTAATGTATTTCAAAGAAATATTATCTGCTTCAGTCTAAAGAAGTGTTAGTGGTTTGTTATGAGTTATGTAAAGTAAGTTAATTTTCAGTGTGACATTGAAGCATGTATTGCCTCCTAAGGGTCCTCTTTATGCCTTTAATCTACTGTTAAGTTTTTTCTCTAGGAATAAAGACATGCTGTGTTTTATCTACAGAGGGCATATATGTTAAGTGAATCTGTCTTAGTATTTGTCTTAATATTTCAAAGTCACTGTCTAGCTGTTTGGTTTTTGAGTTCCTAAAACTCCAAGCTATGTCAGTAATTTGGGTTGACTTGTTATCATCACTCAGTTGTCATTTAGCAGTTTATTTGCAATGGTAGAAACCAACTTTTATTTGGCGTGTGTCTATATGGTTGTCAGATAAATGACCTTTTTCCGCAAGAGCAATGTTATGTTAGCCATCTGGAAGGTAGGACAGGGAGATGAATTGTTAAATTTAACCTGAGTGTTGCACTAATATCAGGAATTTAGTTTTTGAACTTACTTAAAAACTAACAAAAATATTTAGAAGTGACAAAGAAATATTTGTGACCTGTGCATTACCAACATACGAAATTTAATGTGTTTTGGTTATAATGTGCCTGAAATTCAAGTCGTCATGATTTGGAAAGACAATAAAACTGAAGGCATTTGTAACTCTCCTATTTAATTTTTCTACTGTATGTAGTATGTACTAGCCAATATTAACTGAAAAACACAATTTCTATAATGACTTTAAAAATAGAATAGGAATCCTGACTGCTTTGAAAACTGAATTACAGCTTTGATGTCTTCCAGCCTTGGGATTGTCCAGCCACTTCTGTCAGACCACCATCAGTAGCGAAACTTCTCTGTAAAGCATATGCTCTCTCTCACAGCTAGGCTTAATTTAGAAATAAGTTGAAATTTAATCCAGCCTAAAAATGTTTTCTCAGTGGCACAAAAAAGATCTGCCTGTGTGTCTCATGACTTGCTTTGTTCTCTGCTTATCTTACTTCTGATTTCTGGAATGTCAAAGGTTGTTTTGCCACTCTGAGAACTTGAGCTGGCTTTCAGAACTCTTGATTTTACAACTTCTTATGGGCTTTTTGAGTGCTTGACTACTGCATAATAGTTTGTATCTTCGTATATGCCCATGTGGTAGAACAGTGGTAGTGTTGCTAAAGATGTCCTTTGTCATCTTAGACTAGTACAGTGTTTACTTGCAAAGGAACCCCAGTCTCTGAAGAAATGTGCTTTGGGTAGCTTGAGAACATTAAAAAAACTTAGGCATTTTCACTGTTGCCATAGTCGTCGAGACCTTTGCAGATTAAATATGTAAACCCAATACCTGGTATAGTGAGGAGGTTTAAAAACTGATAAAGTGCTAGCATTCTTTGCAGAATAACGATATCCTTTACTTGGCTGTCATTTGCAAGAGTCAGTAGTCCAGGCAGCCTGTCTGAGAGGCAGATGGTACCTGCTGTGGTTTGGTGTGGTTAAAAGCTTTGGGTTTAGGCTGATGTATTCACTTGGCATTTAGATAATCTGGAATAATACGAGTTGTTTGTAAATTAAGGTGCATGCATACCTCTTCTTTACACTTCTCGGTCAAACTCATCCTGTGCTTTCTTAACTTGATAGGGAGAACTGATGGCAGAAACAGAGGTAGGTGAGTGTGTGCTGGATCATATGGTAAAGCAAAGACTCTGTAGAAATGTCTGATACTGGTTGTTTCATGGATGCCCAAACTCCCATCCAGTATGCAACAATCAGAACTTTAGGTTCCCTGCCTCCTCTGCAATTCAATTTACTTTCATATTCTCTGTACTGAATCTTTCTGGTGTCTCTGAGATTCTGTAGCCCTTAGTCTTAACAGAGAAGCTTTGCTTTATGAAGCAAGAAGAATTCTTGGAGCATTTTTAGCGTTAGGAGTTGTGCTTGTGAGTATTAGTATATTAGCACACAATGTTTTGCTTTCAGCACTGCCTGCCTGGTATCAGAAGACCAAACCTCCAGGCTGCTCTGACTAGAGAAAACCATTGACACATGTATATCAATGGAGAGTTAGGTTTGGGGAATTTTCTTTATATTAAATATGATTCTGATGTAGAGGTATAATAGAAATTTAAAATAATACAGTTTTTCACAAATGTTGCCCAACAAAGGGATTTCTCTATCCCAGTGTTCTTCAGTGGTGGTTCTTGATAAGTCAGGCCAAAACACAGAAGAGCATAGTTAATGCTTTTGATTCGGTGATGGAAAATATTTGCAACATTGCCTGTTTCAAGCATCGTTTAAGGCTCTCATTGGTCCTTCCTGCCTTGATGGCTGTTGATGCTTTCCTTTCTTTATGATCATTACTACTGTCCTCCAGATTCTGCAACCCAGAGTTTTGTGTTTCACATCTGGATTCCTTAGCATCAGATTTATTGCTGAATTGCTTTAATTATGTGACAGTTCTAGAGGCTTTGCATTTTGACATATTAAGAATCTTTAGATGGTTGATCATCATTGTTCCTCTTTTTACCGCTTTCCATGCCTTCTGTTATGTTAGAAAAGTGAAAATGAGAAACCCCCCCCTCAACAAAAAGTTCGAAATTAGAGCCAGAATGCCCAAGAGTAAGAATTTGGTGAGATGCTCATGATTAAAAAGTAGAATTGAAGATTAATAATGACTTAATTAGAATACAGTATTTATTAAATATTTCAGAAAAAATGTCTCAAAACGAACTTCTGACTCTTTGTGTGTTTGCTTGTTTCATGTATTCTGGAACTCTATATATACTGCAAATTTAAAACCTAAACGTTTTCTTTTAAGTCCTCCCACTGAATCATCTGCTGAATCAAGCTTGGTTGCTGAACTTCAAGAGAAGCTTCAGGAAGAAAAAATGAAGTTCTTGGAGCAACTTGAAGAACAAGAGAAAAGAAAGAATGAAGAACTGCAGAACATCAGAACATCGCTCACTGCAGAGCAGCAGGTAAAGCTGATTCTTTTTATTGCTTTTGCTCCCGTGATGATTATGTGTTCTTCTGCTGTTTTGAAGTTACAGAGTTGTTTGGGTTTTGCTGTAACACACACATTCTAAATTTGAGTTTTAATACACCATAGCCTGGCTCCAGATAAATGGAATCCAACACTTAAGCATTAAAAAAACAAACAAACAAAAAACACAAACAAACAAAAAACCAAACAAAAAACCCCCCAAAAAACAAAAAGAAAACCAAAACAAAAAACCCAAACAAACAAAACCAATCAAACAAAATAACTGCCTTAACTATCTGCAAACTGGGCAATCCAGATTCAGTTTTTGTTATTTGTGACTTCTTTTGCTTAAGTTGTTAAGCTAGTGCTGTACATCTTTATCCACTAGTCTCTTGAACTCCAGAAAGATACTGTTTAAGTATAGTTTAAGTTCACAACACAAAACTTGTGGACAACACAAAATTAATGATTTGAAATATGAATCGATTTGGAATGCTACTTAATGGCTTTTAAACTTCATTAGCCTGGGCAGTTGGCATTTGAGGTTCAAAGCAAATGTTATGTTTTACTTAGAAACACTATGAACTCCACACCTTGATACAAAATCATATTGCACTGGATTGATAATTATACCTGTATCCACACATTTTTTTTTCCTTTCAAAACGTCTTGAATCTCTCAGATTTTGTGGATGAGTCTTCAATTCTTAAATTAAATCTTGTTAGTAATAGCTGTTATCTACAGCTTTGTTGCATTTAAACACTAAGAAGATTTTCTGTTTTAAGGACCTCTACTTACTTTAGCTATGGTAGGATCAAATAAGGACAAAGAGACAGTGTAGTGATCAGCCAGCTTGGTGAATGAACAATATGAATCACTTGATGCAGAGAGCAGAAAAATGCAGACAGTTATAAAGAAAGGAATATCTTTCTTAAATTTTTGGACTACAGACATTAAGACTGAAGTGAGCCTTACATAATAAATCTAATAGGAATATTTCATACATGACATTGGTAATTGTAAGATTTCTTTGTCCTTTGGAATATGCCTTAATATGCCATTTTCCTTATTGTCTAATAATATTCTTCATTTGTGCAGCAGAGTGTGGAAGGGAAGGTTCTGAGGCATTAACAGCAAATTCTAGGGAACGATGGAACCTTTCATTACAAACAAACAAACCAACCCCCAAAATCCTAAAAATGATGTATCAGTCAGTGCTGAAAACTTACTGGACCGGCTCTGCTGATCACTGAATATTCTGGGTATTTAACCTCACCTTTGATGTAATTTTTTTTTTAGAGGTGTTAGTTATGCTCGTGGTGTGCGATAGTTTTGTTATGCAGACATATACCAGAGGCCGCTGTGCACTATGTAGGGTGTCTACCTGCCAAATAACTTGCATTTTAAGACCGAGAATTGATAGGCATAGGTCCAGACAATTTTAAAATTCACCAAAAAAAGTGAAATTGTAATTTAAAATATCCTTTTCATAGGTGGTTTTTGGTAGTTTTTGTCTATCTATTCAGTGCAACCTTAAGAGTAGGAGGAGTGAGGGCATAATGGTTAGTAGAAGAATTGAAGAAGCAGAAAGATTTGTCAGACTGATACTGAAGGATATGCTAGCCTCTTTTATGTTCAGTTATTCAAGCTATTAGCCAGGATTCCTGTATGACTTTTGCATTAATTAATTGTTCACTGAGGAATTAATGCGTGACTTGAAATGTATTTTTAGTTCAGATTCTAGTGTATTATTCTAGTTTATTGATAATGATATTTTTCTTTTTTATTACATGTAATGTATCTTGATGCAGTGCAGCTTTTTCTTAACCATTTTAATCCTCAAAGTAACTGGTTTTAGTATTAAACATGCAACTGTTGTACATTAACCGGAATATAAAGAATTATGTTTTAAAAAAACCCCCAACTTACAAAACATTATTTTATAATGATGATTTCTTTATAATTATACTACATGTGTGTATTGGGCTTGGGGTAACCAGAAGGATAAAAATAATTAAAAAAAAAATGTTACAGAGAAACCTCAAAACAAAGTGTACAGATGTTACCTCTTCAACAAAGTAGTATGTAAACAAGTTTAATTCCTTATTTAATTATAATTTAGGAAACTGAAATGCATGGTATCTTTTTGTACTTTTTGGTTCTAGTGGTGTATTTTGCATTGCGTTTATGCAGTACATTTCTTAATTCAGTATTACTTCTTTCTGTTTTCAGACCAACTTTAACACTGTTCTGGCAAGAGAGAGAATGAAAAAAGAAAGCATAATTAATGACCTTAGTGACAAATTAAAAATGCTTACGCAACAGCAAGAAAAAGATAAGGGTGAGCAAAGTTCTGAAGAAGTATTGATCTTCTCTAATAGGACAATTCCGTTCACTACAGATTGGTTTTGATCCTTAGTGCTGCTGTTACTAAAAGAATTTTTAATTGTGTCATAGATTTGATTGAAACACTTTCTGAAGATCGAGCTCGCTTACTTGAAGAGAAGAAGAAGCTTGAAGAAGAAGTTAATAAACTAAGAAGTAGTAATTTTTCTCCATCAACCTACTCGGCAGCAGCTTCAGAAGCTTGTGGAGCCTGCGCAGCTGATATTCCCACGGACACAGACAGATTGGTTTCTGACATTGCAGCTGAAGGGAGGATGGATTCCACGATGGAAACCAGTATGATGGCTGTGCAGTAAGTATGGGGCATTGTAGTAGAAATACACAAAGCATGCTGTCATTCTTTAAATGTGTGCCGTTGGGTGTTGTGAAGTACAAATGAGCATGTGTAACACTCCTTCTGCCTTTAAAGTTCTTTCTAAAAATATTCTTTTAAATGTACGCATACAATTGTGGTGTCACAACCATCAGAAATGTGTGATTTTGATGACTTGGAAGTGTGCAACTTAAAGGTGAAATTTGGCCCCACAGTTATGAGATGAAAAAATAGACCTAAGTATGTGAAATGTGAGTCGAACAGGAGAAGAGCAATTGTAATAGTGAATGAGCTGGGTGGCTGCATGTTATTGGCATATCTTTTGAATGGTGGCTGGCTCTCATTTAAAAACAAACAAACGAAAACTTTGCTTGTTCATGTACATGTCTGCTGTAGTATAGCATAATGACATTCCTTGATAAAGCAGAAGGGGTAATAGGTATGCTTGGTAACAATTAAGCTGAATTCTCAGGATTACAAAGAAATAATGGGACTCAGGCTGATTAAGTGGCCTTGATGGACTGATGGTTTGTAGTATTGGAGAGAAGAACAGGTATTCAGCATATCTTTCTTTGTATAACCTCTGAATCATCAGTACTGTCACCTGTGATATACTGCTGCCTTACTAGAAGGCAGAGATGGGACTGGGAAAAAACTTTGCAATGATTTAAACCCGTACTTGAGGAAAACAGCTAGGGCAAGCAACTTATGTACTTCAAACTTAAGACTGGGTCGTTTGTGTTTGAATCTGGTTGACAGTCTGGATTTACAACAGCTTCAAATAACATTATGTTGATAACACATATTTAACTGTTTATCACCCTTTTTGTATGGAGGTTTAATTAGGCAGGGGCTAGTTTGCAGGTAGGTGTCCGAAGCTGTGCTTGAAATACTGAAGTGATTATAGAGATCAGAGGGAATTTACGGAGTTTTTCTGCAGTCAGTGACTTCACTATATTCTCTATTTTCGGTGCCCTACAACAGCAGTACACTTTGTTGTTGGTATATAATACCTTTCCCAGTAAGTCAGGAGTCTACATCTAAAGCTAGCGCACTGTGATCTGGTCTTAGTGCATAACTATGAAGCCTTCTTAACTTAAATAATTCTGACTGGTACAAAGTTGTCCTGTTGGCTGTTGTCAGAAATCCAGCCTACTGCAGATGTATTTTCTGTTTTTTCAATACTGACTTCCATGAAAACGTACATCAAGTTGGAGCCTTGATTGTTACTTTAAATGTACCTAAAGTAATTTTGTAAACGTTTTTGAATAGTAAAGACTTGTCTGCTCCAAGAGAAGGGGTTATGATGTGCATGCAAAAATCCTAATTTTTTTCAACTTTCTTAACAATTTTCGTAAATTTCTCTTAACACATGTAGAATGTTAAGCCTAAAAATTCTGTACTAAAATGAGCACATTCTATAACATGTGCTTTCTGACTAGAATAAGACAAAATGAGTAGCACATGATATGTGTGCATTAAAATAGAACTCATTACTGGAAGATACTCAACTGTTATACATAATGCGGTATGAGAATTCATTCAGAATACATCAGTGGGAGAGAATTCAGGGGGGAAAAAAGGTGAAGTTTTGTCCTAGGCATTCCAATTGCTTTTTTAACTCCATATAAAAACCGGGCAAACTGTGAAGTTGATAAATATCACAGGCTGTGTCATGTTACCCTGAATAAACAGCAAGCCTTTTTTGTTCGAGTTACCTCAGAGCGATGAAATGTTTTGGGAAGACAGATCTCAGCATCTTCTTTAAAATAAACCAAAAATTCATATGCTCTTATTTCCCTCTTATTTCTGAGGCTTCTCGAAATACCTGTCTGATTTACACTTCAGAACTGTACAGTGTAATGTTGTATTCCTTTGCATGGGAAAAAGGCTTAGAATCCCAGATTAATTTCATTATACCCCTACTATGATTAAAGGTTTCTTTTTGCTCATTACCTGAAGAAATTGGCTGCATCTCTGAATCACCCACTTGATACAGCTTGCAGATTTTTACTGTTGTTGAAAAGAAAGCAGAATAACTGACTGTAAGCTCCTGGTTGCTACCCCTTTCCCTAGAATCTTCATGGAAGATCATTAAGCAATTGCAGCCTATACGTTTTCTTACTTTTGTGCTACTAGTTCTTTGAACAATCCCAGACTTACCTCTCACAGAAGTGATGAACCTGACTGGGAAACACACAAGTGGAATGAGGTTTTGCCAGAGAAGCAAAAGCGGAGTTGTTAGATATATCTGTGTTCATTTTAATCAGTGCCCATCACAACTGATGCTACCTTACCCAGAATAATATAATTTTTATAACTTTATAATTTTATAATTTTTTATTTTAGTGCCCTAATTAATTTTGTGGAAGCAAGAATGAAAACACTTGTTGCTTACCAATCTAAACTTGCACTGATAATCAATAAAACACTGAAGTACGCTGTCTTTAGAAGGAGAACTGTTTCGTACAGTACTCACTCTAGTCCTAAACTGTCAAGGCAGGTTTACAAAAAAACTTGAAAAGATAAGCCTGGGAACAAAAAATTTTGGCTCAATGTACTAAAAGTCAGGTAGGCAGAAATTATTACAGATTTCTGTTGGCTTCTTCCTATTACATGTGAGCTCAACAGCCTTTTAACTGAAATGAAATAATGATTAGCATGATTTGATTGTAATCTGTTAGTTCTACTTGGCATTTTATTTGGATTTGTGGCATGTTTTGTCAGACTGGATGAATGGACTATATGTCCAAAAATTTGTCCATTTTCTTTTCCCAACCAAATCAGTTTGGACTACAAAATATTTTATTTCTTCCCTATTAGCCTGCCTTTAAAAATGTATTTTAATTGTATTAGGAATTGCTCTCTGCGTCCTCAGGAAATTTCTTACTAGGATGTTCGCATTATCTAATCATGCCCCAGTGCTCAGTTTATCTTACGGATAAACAGAGACAATCAGCAGGTTCACATTAATGTCTCTCTACTAGAGTGTCCCAGGGCACAGAGCCTTTGAACTACAAAGATTAGGGAAATATGACATTGTAGCGCTGGACTGCAATCTCAAGGGTTAACTGCCAAAGCATTTGGAGCTGCAGCTTTCATCCTGATGTTCTGAAAATAATGCAAAATATGCAGAAATGGCACCATGTAACTTTTTATAAGGTAATGAATGACTGAAAATTCACTGGCTTGTTGCAACAAAAAAGCTCCTTGGGTTTAAAGAAAAAAGAAAATCCCCCCAAACCTTGCAGAAATGTCGATGCTGATTCTTAAGGTATCTTTCTGTGCTAGCGTATACATGGCACTCATTATTGAGTGAAGATGGCGGGGTGGGCAAGATAATTTTTGATCATGAAAAAAATTTTCATTTTTAACCTATGCATTTTATACTTTCTCTTTTAGTGAAAATGTCCATATGTCTGAAGAAAAACAGAGGATAATGTTGTTAGAAAGAGTGAGTAGATTGTTTATGAGGTTAAGCATTACAACTGAGTGCTCATAAATATGTATGTATGAAGGTGTGCTGTGGTCAGTTATATGCTCTGATGCAATATAGTATCTGCGAGGCTTATAAATATTATTCCAGGGAATGGTTGGTGGTTGTACTCATTTTGGATCAGTGTAATTTGTTGAAATAATTCAAAATAAGTATTAATAACCTTATGCTTATACTTGGCCTAGCTTAAAGTTTGTTTGTTTACGTAGGCTTCAGTATGAATGAATCAGGTGTAATATTTCTTCTTAGGAGTGACAGGTCATTGATCTAGGGAATTTCTGTAGAGAAAAAAGTTTTGATTACTTTTTCAAATTAAGGCATCCAAAAGAGTTGCACAGGAATTAAGATTGATTTATCTGTTTCTCTTGGCAATGGGTAATTTCTCCTCTTAGGCTGCTGTTACTTAGATTATTTTAGTTCTACTTGGGGTACGTTATCATCCTGGCAGTATTGCTTCTAATAAAAGTGAAATAACACTTGTTATGAATGTGCTTAAAACTGCAATTTTCAGAAGTAATTGTCATGCTCTTACAGGCTAGAATTGTAAGTTTATGCCTCGCCCCCCATGCTTCTCCCAAATACATACCTTAAATTTTCACTTCTGTTACAACTTCTAGTTTGAGCATAGCTTTCAATATACACTGAGTAATTGAACCTTTTTGATGAAATAAAAGCTGTTATTCTCAGGAAAAGGTGAGATTAACCCTCAGTAGTTACACTGGAATCTTTCAGATTCTAGTCATTTTTAACTCTCCAGTAGTATCCAACTCCATTCCAGTTGCCTTTTTCTTGTATTTTCAAATTTGACCTTAAAAAAAAAAAAAAATCTTTAGCTTTCAGCTTTATCTGCTTACAAAGGATTTGTCACAGGTAGAAGCTATAAAATAGTAATGATATTACATTTCTTTTGCTGTTCTATCAGTGAAATATTTTTCTAACTTAAGGAGAAGGATGAGCATGGAGATAAGCATAGCTTAGCTGTAGGTTTTGTAACTCTGTGGTAATTGCTAGTCTTCAAGTTTTTTTACATGTCTTTGATCAAAAGTTGTTTTGATATTGTTTTAAAACTGAAAGCTGTAGTAAATAAGTATAATGTGTAACATATCAAAAGTTTTAAAATGTTTATACTGTATAAGATGTATTAATTAGTTAATCAGGTAAGATTTTCTTTCAGACTTTGCAGTTGAAAGAAGAGGAAAATAAGAGATTAAATCAAAGATTGGTAAGTATTTGTGCAATGCATGTTTTAAGTCTCATGAAAAAAGAAAAGCTTACAAATGTTAAGTTTGTTAAAATCTAAAAATGTGGTTTTATGAACTTCAAAAATCTTTTAAGTGTTAAGGCAAGCAGCAAATAGGTAATGTGATAACCTTTCAGAGGTACCTCAATTTAGCAGTCTTCTCATGGAAGAGATTCACAGGACTGGAGAGCAAGAGACTTCTTCCCAAAGAACACAGACCATCCAGGCTTGGGGAAGGGGCAGTTAATTTCAGTGGCACCATGGCTCAGTTTTTCAACAATAGTAGATGGAAGGCTAGTTTACAAGAATGTAAATATGCCTGCACATTAAGCATAATTAAGAGTGTTAGCAATAACTTAGAGATTATTCTTGGAAAACTGCACCTGTCATTTTTGTAACGTGTGAAACTTTAATTCTGCCTAGTAACTGGAGATACAAACAGGCATAGTCTTAAACTTAAACACTCAAATGATAGTCGATGCCTATGGAAGGAAAAAGAATACAGTGACAGAGCTCCTTTGATTCCTGTGCTATGAATCCTTCTCTTTTTATTTATCCACAGTTCATCCTTGCTAGTAGGTCTCAGCCTTAAGTCCTAAAGAGATTACTGCGTGTATGGGAAACAGGCAGGTGCTTTGGTAGTTTATTGGTTGGGCTGGCCACAGAGATCTCACTTTCTTTAAGTAACAGGTGTTACCTAGGAGTTTGGTAGGAACTGATATCTGTGTAGTTGCAAGTTACATTTCATAGCAAAAGTGTTTGATGAATTTCTCCAGTAGGAGCTGCCATTTTTCTGTCTGGGATAGAATTGAAATGTCCTACATAATTTACTCCTGCTACGTATTCAGGTGTGAAATTGCAATTTTTTTCAAACACTTTCCATTCCACATTAAAACCTGTACGTAGTCACCGTGCTAGTGCAGGGCGTAAGAAAGGATTGCAAGACATCTAAAAGCATATTTTATAAAAGATTTTTTTTTTATTCAGGACGTCAATGAAATATGCGAAATGTATTTCAGTGTAGTTTTTACAATAAAATTCAAAACACACTGGACAGTCTTCTAAACCTCTCTGTAGATTTCCTGAATTAAACTCTTGATCTCTTTTGGCATCTCAGAATAAAATGAAGAAAACTGTGTTGTACAAGACAAATACAAAATAATTTTTGTTATGATTAATACAAAGCCATGTAGGAGAAATTGGCAGCTCTCACTGGTGCCTAAAGCAATTCAAAACTGGTTTCTAAATAGACATAGGAACATAATATGTTTTCAATTTCTTACTTATAAATTGTTTATTTCATAGATAAAATAAATTTATTTCTTGTCTCATCTTTCTTTCTCCCCCCTTTCCTTCCCAATACACTTCTAAAACTGAAATATACACCAACAATTAAATATCAGTATTTATTTCTATCAAGCTACTTCAGATAAGGAACCCAAAAGGGATTTGCACAATAAAAGAAAATCTTTTCAGGTCACTAGCTTTTTGCAGCAAAACTTATGGGTTACCTCTGCAAGCAGTGAAAAATAAAAAGGAGCTTCTTTTAATACCAGGAACTTTATTACAGAATTTTTATATGCATTGTTTAGAAAAGGAACCTTTTTTCTGTGTGGAGGCTATTAGAGCCCTACTCTTAAACCATTCTTTGTGAGTTTTAATGGAAATAATCTTAACATTCTAATTTGTTCTGTTTTTCTTAATGTTAGAAATGAATGAAAAAACAGAAATCGAGCTAGTTGCATCTTAATTTGGCACTTACTCCAGCTTTAAAAAACAGTAAGAAAATCCTTGGTCTTAACAGCTGAAGAGAACTCTCACACTTCTGCGAACAATCTAAGCAAATTACACGCGTTTGACAAATTTCATGTTAGCTGCAACTTTTTCAAGAAAGAAAAGTACAATGTGAATAAGTCAAAGAAATGTAGTCTCTAACAAAAAAAGATTCATCTGAAGTTGGACTCCATAAAGAAAGGTGTTGAAAGTGCCATGAGAAGTTGAGAGCTTTTTGTGTTGTACTGTATTCAGTTTGGACTCATTTGAAGAAATTGAGAAAAGGAGCTTTGAATAGGCTTTGGGCTGGTATTAGGAGAGGCTGGTACAGTTTCTGGGGAAGTAGGGGGAGAGACTGACAATAGGAAATATGCCGTAGGTAACAATATATGAGTTACAGCTGAAAAGTCATGTGCTCCACTTCAAGTATGAGTAATCTAGATATCAACAGCATGTATAAATAGTCCAGGAAGTAGGAACCTATGGCAAAACTGCAAGACCTCTACTCAGACTTTCTGCAGGGCAATTATTAATTGTCTCCTGTAAGGAAGTTACCAAAGGGTTGTGAAACAGTTACATTTACGTCAAAACAGCTTCTCTGTCTACTTGCCTGTATGTGGGCTACGTTTCCCTTTGCAGACACAACGTAGAGTTACCCATTTTCATTTCTTATTATCACAGTTACTGTAGAAAGTATGTGTGCACATGTTAACTTTTAGGTCTAGTTTATCCTATTAAAGTTGGTTCATGTGCCAGTATTAATTTAAACAGATTTAAAGGCAAATAGCATACATATAGGAGATAATCATTATGTCCAAAACCTTACATAATTGAGCCTTGGTTTGGTCTTAGTAAACTTGACTCCTGTTTTATTCCAGGGAGTTCTGCTCTGTCTGTTCCAGTAAATGTTAGATTATGTGATTTAGTAAAACTGAGAGAGCACATTGAGTTCAACATTCAGAGTTTAATTGCAATAAATATATTTAACCTCCAGGGTTTTACCAACAGCATTTTTTAGGATGCTAGTGGCTTCTGTGTTAGAGTGCACAGCTATATCATAGGTCTTCTGTATGCTCAGAACAAATCTTCACTGGCACTGATCTGGAAAGCATTTCTCAGTTTTAAATAATGAGAATTCAGTTAGGTAAGAAATTTCACAATCAAAGGTAGCTATTTAAATAAAACAAAAGTGAAATAAAAAAAAACAGCACCACAACCAACCAGCCAAACCTGCTACAAAACAGGATGACAGAAAGGTATGCTGTTTTCTTGACTGAATATAAGATGTGCAAAAATAGTCACTGTTTGAAATCAATAGTAAGTTATTTATCTTAACCATATTGTTACCTGCAATGTACATTTCATCATAGCTTGCCAATACTTTATAGCTTTTCTCTTATTTTATAGATGTCCCAGAGCATGTCATCAGTATCCTCAAGACATTCTGAAAAAATAGCAATTAGAGAGTAAGTACATGTTGATTTTCATATAAACAGATGGATGTGTCTTCAATAATAAGTATGTAGATAAAGAATGTCACAATTCTGTTCTTGCTCTGTGGTGAGAAGATATATAGGTCATCTTTATAGTTTAGCCGTCAGTTATTGAACCATCCCAGTTGGGCATAAGTCAAGTTTTGTAAACCCTTTTTTAAACAAAAAAAAAGGCCTTTCTGAATTCTGTGCCTTTGTTTATGTAGTTTATAAGGATAATGCCTCATGGGATTTCTAGAATCCTCCCAGAGTTTTCTTTTAGATTACTTTCTGTTTATCTGTAACCTTCTTGAAATCATGCTAAGGAAGAGTAGAAGGCATCCTGTTAACCCTGAATATGTGTAGTGCTCTATTATATCTCAAGAGAAGTTTTACCTTCCTGAAGTCTTCAGAATTTTCAGTTTATCATGACAGAATGAAATGAAAATAACCCAGATATTATCAATCTGTTAGCAACTGCATGTAGAATTGTTGCTGGAAAAAGAAGTATTAATTCTAGCAAAATATGGAAGCTACAGACAGCTGTTCTGTTGTGGTTTAACCCTGTCTGGCAATTAAGTACCACACAGCTGCTCATTCACTCATCTCACCCCCAGTGCCCCCACCCGCTGGTGGGATGGGGAGAAGAATTGGAAAAAAGGTAAAAACCATGGGTTGAGATAAGAACAGTTTAATAATTGAAATAAAATATAATAATTGTAATGAAAAGAGAGATAACAGAAAGAGAAATGAAACCCAAGAAAATACAAGTGATGCACAGTACAATTGCTCACCACCTGCTGACCGATGCCCAGCCCATCCCCAAGCAGCAATTTGCCCCTCCCAGCCAACTCCCCCCAGTTTCCATACTGGCCATGCCGTTCCATGGTATGGAATATCCCTTTGGGTGGTTGGGGTCAGCTCTCCTGGCCGTGCTCCCTCCCAGCTCTTTGTGCCCCTCCTCGCTGGCAGAGCACGGGAAACTGAAAAGTCCTTGACTGAGAGTAAGTCCTGCTCAGCAACAACTAAACCGTCTGTGTTGTATCAACATTATCCTTACACTAAATCCAAAACACAGCACTGTACCAGCTCCTAGGAAGAAAATTAACTCTATCCCAGCTGAAGCCAGGACATGTTCTTAAGTAATTTATCAGTCTCATATTGAGTAATATTAAAAAAAAAAAAAAACCACAAACAAACCTCTTTGGAAAGAAAACTAACAGAGATTATTCCTTTAATGGTTTATGAACTACACCAAATTGCATTTTTATTGTAACAAGGTCAGTGTGTGCAGAAATGGCTTTTCCTGTGAGCATCTGAATATTCTGGCAACTATCTTTCTAGTCCTTGGTGAGGAAAATGTTGTGAAAGAAGAATTCATCTGTGTTGTAAAGTCAGTATAGTCTGTCATCATCATAAATCCAGGCAGAAAAGCTTGGAGTATTGTTTATTTAATCTGAAAGTGAACTTTAAAGAAAATGAGCTAAATTTCTCTCTAGATTTACCTATTTATCTCTGACTATGTATCTGCAGTCTCCTTTTATGGAGAAGTTTTCCCTTTTCTTTACCACTTCCTCCCCCATCCCCAGAGTAGCAGTAATATTTATTCTTAGAGCCCTCTCATGGTCTAATGCTTAATTTGTAGCTATGTTAGACTTCATTTCATTAATGGATAAATACTTTACTTCCAACACATTTGCACTGTGAAACCGAAGTTGGAGACAGAAAAGGTTCTCTGAATTCTGTTATTGAAACTTGGCATGAGAACTCGGTGGCTTCTTGTGTTATCCTGGTGTCAGGAAGAAACAGATTTTTGAAACTTTTTATGCAAAGTTACCATGGTGTTTCTTTTCTTTTTAACTCTTTGATCAAAGATGAACACTTCATCCCTTCTTTCTCCTGTGTGCTTAAAATTTTAAGATTGAATAGCTACATAAATGTTTTGCTGTATTTTTTTTGTTTTCAAATTGACTTCAGTTTAAAACATCAAAAGTGTATTTGTGAACACTGATACAGTGATCATTACCATAAGTATTTGTGAACAAAAATAATATACAATTGAAACATTAGTGTTTTGTTATGTACTTCTGTTGATATTTTAAAGCAAAACTGTCAGTTCTTTTGAAAAAAATAATTTGAACTGATGAATGTAGAAGAACATTTCAAAAACATTTTTTGAAAGGTAGAATGTCTTGTTGACTTCAGAAAATGCAAAATAATGTATATGAGTTGTCATAACAAGTAGAAACATATGTGGTGTTCAAGTAAGTCTGTGCAATATTTGGGAAAAGATTGTAGTGTCAGTAATGCAGTTTTAAGCTTCTGTGCTTTTTTTTTAGTTAAGTTCCTTGATCATTTTTTTCCCAGTTTTCAGGTTGGCGATTTGGTTCTCATTATCTTGGACGAAAGGCATGACAACTATGTATTGTTTACTGTTAGTCCAACCTTGTATTTCTTGCACTCAGAATCTCTTGCTGCACTGGATCTCAAACCAGGTGAGTGTGGTAAGTGTCAGATTACTTCCAATTATTATCTCCTCCTACAAAAAACACTCAACTTTCTAACACTTAGTAAGTGATTTTATAAATTATAGACGTGGTAAATATGAGAAGCATGTAATATAGATAGCTGTCAGCTATTTTTGTAGCTTTTGCTATTTGTTTTGATGCTAAACATTTTTTAGGCAAACATTTTAAACCAACAATTTATGTAGGTGTTAATATCTTGAAAAAATAGGGAAAAAGATCTACATCTTCAAAGTAAGATGTAAAAAAAAAAAAGAGAAAATGCCAATTTTGTACACACACAGAGTATGTTAACGTGTCTATGGGGAAAATATTCCCATCAGGCTGCTTAGCTATTCGGTAGCATGAATAATAATGTATAATTGTGTAGGTCTGAGGCCTATTTTTATGTGGATTTATGTTTTCAGTGTCTCTTTTTGATGAGAAAAATAAATACAAAACTCGAGTAACGTTTCTGTCAGAACTCTCTTCTTATTTTTTAATACCTGATTTTATGATATTCTTTGGAGATTGTCTCTGGATAAAATTTGTTCTCTCTGTAGTTCATCTTCTGCAAAGTGACCGGAATTTACGAACCCAAATACATGTTTGAAATAACAAAATGTAGACCATGGTATATGGGGGTTTGCAAGCAATGTTTTTGCTGATAAAGTTTTTCCACCCAATTTAAATGGTGTTTAGCAGGGCTCAAAAGTTTTCAGAGAAGAGTTTCTGTATGTTTTGCTTATGTTCACGTTGATGGCACATGTGGTTTTTCCTCCCTTATTCTTCAGGTTTTTTTGTTGGCTGCTTTTGGCAGCTATGTAAACTTAGTTAAATTAAAGTGCTAATCTTTTTTAAATGAGGAAAGATAACAATGCTTTGCACTAAACTACGTACTACATGAAATAGATTCATGTAAACGTCTTTAAACTTTCACACGTAGCGTTTTTCGCAAACCCACCTGTGCTCCCAACTTGCAGAAATATCTGAGAATGTGCATCAAAAGAAAATTTTGTGTTAATTCTAATTTATCAGTAAAAGTTTCTATATGTTATTGCTTGACAGAAGCTATCAACTTATTTTCAATGAGCAGACTTGTTGCAGATTTCGGTTATGATGAAAGATGATAGCTCTTAAATAACTGTGTAGTCTCCAGAAGATCGCCAAGCTCTGAATTCTGAGACTGCTGAAGGATCTGTTCCATGTGGGTTCTGCAAAACATATGGGAAGAACTCTTATCTTACTTACAGATGTAATACATTCTGACCTATGGCATTAGTAGTGTGTACATAACTATGTGAAATATGATTGATTTTTCTTATTGTTAGTTTACATATGTAAGGTAAAAGCCATGTCAGTTTGTATATTACTCGAAGTACACAATTCTCTGACCTGTTTGTTTTCAAATGGACTTAGCTTGCTCCATTCCTTACCACTTGCTCACCAGGGTTAGTCTCAAGTTTGGGAAAACTACACATAAAAAAACCAATTTGCTTTAGGAACACATTTGTCTCTAGCTCAGTGCTTCAGGAAACCATGGCTTGATTCTATTTCTGCTTCAGGGAAGTGGGGAAAATGAAACCCAGAACGCTAGTAGTATTTGTGATTGAAATTGGTGTGGACCTAGGTACTGCGAATTATTGTTTTAAGGGCTGCCAAAATGATGCATCTAAATCTGACCTTTTGTACCAACATGTATGTATCAAGTTAGTAATTCTCTATAGATCCACCAGCAGTATTAAATGTCAGGGATCTAGGCTATGGTAGGTTGTCTCTGCCTACATTAAGAGCCTTTAGAGTGCTACGATAACACTGAAATTGCTTGAGGACTGCATGGTTTCTGTGTTGTCCATTATCTTTGGGATATGGAAACCGTCATCTGCAAATGTAAGGAAAAAAAAAAGCCTGGACCTTTCTCATTATCTTTGTTAGATCAATGAAGTCTGTCAACCAAGCAAATTTTTAAAAAATCTTAATTTTTTTTGTAATTTAAATGTTGGTTGTAGAGCATTCAGGCCAGATACGAATACTTTGCACTGATTTGTAGTAGTATGGAGTAGAACAGAATGTGCTGCAGTATCAATAGCGAGATTAATCTTGAAGGGTAAGATTAAAATTTCGAACTCTGGATCTTGAGTGATTCATTTTCTAGTCACTAGATACAGTATCTCATAAATAGTCAAGCTTAGAAAAACATTGATTTTAGTGTTATGCAGAGCATATGTGAGCTGTTCCTTCCGTCTGTTTTGATGTTTTCTTCATGCTGTGATTAGTGATAGTTAGAAAAGAGCAAAGAAGTAAAATAGATATAATTTCTTGGAATACAAGACAAATACGCGTTTCCTTACTGTTACAGAAATGGATACAAGCTGAAAGTTCATTTATGCCCGCTGTTGCTCTTTTGACCTGTCAGCTTTTATTGTTGAGGTTTTTAGCTTTTCTCCTTTCTGAACAGTATTGGGTACTCTTAGAAGACTGCAACAAAAACTAGCAGACTTGTAGGGCTTTATTATTTACGAGTATCTGGTTTCCATCACAAATACAGAAAAATAATCAAATGTTTCAGTAAGGGCAATAATAATAGCTGAGTACAGAAGACTTGCTATCATTTGAAGTACTTCAAGAAATTCCCACCTTAAATTAGACAAAAAGCTCAAGCTTGGCTGTCCAAAATAATTTTGAATCCTTAAATGAGTTTCAGTTTTGATTTACTTTTGTCTCTGCGAATGTTAGCTTTTAAAACAAAACGTAAACTGAAAAATCAATTTTTTGTTTGAAAGCACTATTGACCTGTCTTGACAGATCAATTAAATAAAATCTGAACTTATTTAATTTTTGTTAATTCATTAAAAAGGTGGTTTTGAAGAATTTCTGCTTTCAATTAAATCATTTTAGCAATTAACCTTTACCCATATTGAATGTAATACTCCGTTACTTGTAACCGATTATCTAAAATAATAAATATATTGTCTGTCTAGCTTCAGGTGCATCTAGGAGACCTTGGGTGCTAGGAAAAGTGATGGAAAAGGAATATTGCCAGGCAAAAAAGGTAAGGAAAATAGTAATGGAAAATCATCTGATAAAATTAAATCTGATTTTCTTCTCTATTAATGTTTGTAACAATTGTGAAAAGTACTCTCTGTATAATAAGTGAGATGAAAATTGTCCTAGGTTCTGCCAT